TCGCCATTCCTCCAGGACTCCTTGGCCAGCTGAGGAGGAGGGACCGCAGGCCTGAAAGCCAGAGGGGACTCAGGGGCCCTGAGGGGCGGGACCGCCCCCGCCCCTACCAGGAGATGGAGCGTCTTCTCCACCAAGGCTCAGGTGTGCAGCCCTGCTCCGCGCCCTCCAGGCAGCCTCTGCCCTTGGGGTTCAGCCTTTGACGCGCACGTGAGATGGGGTTCCCACGCCAGCGTGTCCCCCAGGCTTGAAGGCTGCCCCTCGGGGCTCCCTGACTCGGTTTACGGAAAGGCCTGCTGCCATATGGGCAGAGTCGGGCGAGGCCAAGGGTTGCCACCCCAGAAGAACCGGGGACCTCAGGGCCCCATAAGCAGCTGGGCACTGGTCTCCAGGCAACGTGGGACACTGTTTACAGGGTCTGGAGCGGGGCCGTGGCGGGGCACGTTAACCCTAAAATGGGGCCGGGGACAGAGACGTGCCTCCTGCTTCTCCTGCAGGCAGCGGTGCGGTCTGACGGCAATCCTCCCAGCACCCGCGGGTCTGCCCTGGACAGCCAGGCAGTGCAGCAGTGAACACCCTGCCTCTCAGTAAAGCAGGGAAGTGAGGAGCGAGATAAATCCCAGTCGTCTGCCCTGAGCTGTAGACCCCTGAGCCAGCGGCTGCAATCTAAGCTGTCGAGAACGGACGCCCAGGTGGGTCCCAAGTAAGTGACCTCTGACCTTCTGGGAGCAGACCAGCTGGAGAACAAAAGTGGATTTAACGGTGGGAGAAACAACCACGTTTAGCATAAAAAAGCTGAGCAATTAATGGAGAAGAATCCAAGTCTAGACAGAAAACACAGATTATAATTTGGATGCAAATCAAATCAGCTATTTAATTAAGACGCAGCTAATTAGTACAGGAGTTTTCTCTCACAGCCACTCTGGGGAGGGAGGACCTGCCCCAGGGGCAGTGCAGCTGAGCCCCACGCAGCCCAGCCAGGCAGAAGGGGCGCAGGGAGCCCTGCCCCAGCACAGCACTGGCTTTGGGAGGACGGGGAGGAGGGGGGCGAGCCGTGCCCTTGAGCCGACGCTCGTGGATTTAGTCCAGAAAAGCAGAAGGTCCCACGGACTCACGGGCCCTCCCTCCTGCCTCGGCCCCCCGGGCCTCAGACACCTCCTGAGGGGAGGTCACGGGCTTGCTGGTGATGGTGGCACCAGGCCTGGCACAGGGAGAATGCTCCCTCCTCCTTTGCCTCTGGTACCTGATCAGGATGCGGGCAGCTGGGCCCACAGGCACTGGGGCGTGTGGGGGTCGAGGAGGTGGGAGATGCCCCAGACAAGGGTACAGTGGGAAGTTAACAAGGTCCCCTCGGGCGAACCCTGCACCTGGGGACCCCTGACCTGTGTCCTCAGCTAAGCCATGTCCCCAGCCTGCAGACAAGGCTGCCCCTCATGTGTTGATCACCTGGAAGGGATGCAAGAGGCGGATCCAAGTCTCCATGGAGCTCAGGGAGCTGTCGATGGCCACAAGGCCACTGTCATAGTTACTGGGGCCCCTCCCGAATGCACACACCCCCTCAGCCTTACTGGTCCCTGCAGGGAGAAGGGCCATCAAAGCAGCGTGCGGGTGCCCCCTCCCCCGCCCCCGGCATCTGAATGGAACTGCAACTGTGCAGGGGGGACCCCCCCAGTGCCTGCATGCCTGTGCGCCTTGGAGAAGAGACGGGGTTTTGCACGTTTTGTCTCACAAGAGAACAGCCGCCGTGCAGACCAAACCAACCAGAAGCCCCACAAACCCTCGGAAAACGGAAGCAGCACCCCCTGCTGAGCCCTGTGCACGAGTGTCACCCAGCCACGCCGAGGGGGCCTCTCCTGACACTTTCCGACCCCACCGTGAACGTACTTGAGTCAGGACAGGCCGTGCAGGTGGCTGCTCGCTGCCTGCAGACACTCTGGGCTAGAAGAGGCTCCCCAGGCCCTGTGGGCTCCGGCTTGGGTGGAGGCTGGGCTGACCACACCTGCCCTCAAGAGGCCCAACAGCCCACGGTGGGCGAGCGGTGGCTTCCAGAATGCCAGTGCACCCGTGCAGCTGGACGCAACAGGGACCCCATGGGGTGGGGTGGGGAGGGGCCTGGGGAGGGACAAAGGAGGCCATGTGCTATCTCCAAGGGCCACCACGCCGCCTGCCTCAGGGCCCTCAGGTGGATGCTCCTAGGCCCCTCAGCCCCTTAGCATCTTCAGGGGCGAGCCAGCTGCAGCCCTGCCCGTCGGGGTGCTGGGTGCTCAGGACAGCTCAGGCCGTGGCAGTGATGGGACCTGGGGAAGCACAGGCTTGGCTAGGGGAGGGGGAGCAGCGGGTGCCCAGGCACGCGGAGACGAGGTGGTGGGCGGCCACGAGCTGGGAGGGCCGAGTGGGGCTCCGGGCCTGGCACGGGCACTTCACCGTCAGAACTGGGGGCAGACATGGCGGAGCAAACATGACGACAGCGTCTCGGGGGACCGCCGAGCACCTGGCCGGGCCAGTGGGTGGATGGGAGGGGAGGCCGGGGAGGTGCCGGGTCTGCCTGGGCTCTTGAGGCATCTGACCCGGGTTTGGGGCTGAGCTGCCCTGAGGCCTCCTCTCCAGAGCCTGGGTGGCCCGGGCCAGGGTGGGTGCTGTCCTTGTGGCTACACCTTGTCACCCCCAAGTCCCTGACAGCAGGTCAGCATGTGAGCCGGGGGCACAGAGGCCTCCCCAAGGTGGGACGTGAGGGACGAAGCGTCCACGGAGCCGGGACCCCCTCACCTACCTGCCTGAACTCCTCCCAGGAATTGGTCCAGGTCCAGAAGTGGGCCTTGTACTGGCCAAGGGTGACTGCCATCAGAGTGTTGCCACGGTAATAGAATATTGGCCTGTCAGGGGGGCAGGCAGCGTCAATTGAAAGGGTCCCTGGGCTGTGGAGGGGCCTCCGTGGCCGCCCCTCATCCTTGGTGCTGGGGAGGCTTGGCGGCGGAGGAAGGGGGTAGCACCCGGGCATGGCAGGCTGGCCTGTGGGGACAAGCGTGGCGGCTGGCACCCCCTGCCACCCCCGCCAGGGGTAGCAAGCTCTCATGCTAGGTTTCAAGACAGAAAAGAGACAGTGAGCCGTCCACTCCTGACCGTAAGCCTGCTCTGGCTACACTATACACGCTTCAGAATCCACGTCCCCTCATGGCAGCCTGGGAAACTCATTTTGTTTGAATAAAACAGTAGCAGGTCTTGAGCTGGAGAAACTGCCTCTGGACAGTGTCCTGGCGCAGAGCTGGGTGTAGGCTGGGGCCGGGCAGAGGGTGAGGGACACCGCAGGGAGGAACAAGGCCTCTCCACCCCACCAAGCGTTTCATGCCAAGATCCCCTGGTCTCTCCTCCCCCTGGGCGAGGACACCTGCTTTGTCAGCCAGCTCGGCTCCGGCACCAGGTGCGGGGCACCAGGCGGGGCAAGTGCCCGGCGGGAACCTACCTGTCTGTCAGGCGACCCTGGAGCATGGTGGGGAGGAGGTCCAGGCCATCGATGGCCCTGTCCCTGGGTGGCTCCAGGCCTGCGAGGGACAGGCTGGTGGTGAAGAGGTCCATGATGCTGCCCAGCTGGTGGGTCACCTGCAATGGACGTGGCCCAGACGTGCTGAGGATGCCCGCCCTGCCCTGCCCAGATGGCGGCCAGGGGCCAGGTCCCCAGGCGTGCTCGCTGACGCACACGTGCACACACACACGCGCGCGGTCACATCCCGCAGCATGTCCACACACGCAGAACAGAGGCTTTCCCTGCCCGATGACGTGTGCGTGGCAGAATGAGGGCAGGGAGCAGGCCAGAGAGGGGACCAAGGCTTCACGCCCCAGGACGACTGCAGGTCCGGCACAAGGCCGCTCTGACTCACCTGGCCGGCAGGGATGTGCCCGGGCCACCAGGCGATCGCAGGCTCCCTCATCCCACCTTCAAACGTGGTCTGCTTCCCGCACAGAAAGGGGCCGTTGCTGCCACCTGGGGACAGTCGCCCATCAGACCACGTGCCTGAGTCCCCAGGGCCACACACACCCTGCCGGGCACTCGCCCTCGGGACATGTCTGTCCACCTGGCTCCTCGCCTGGCCCTTTGGAGGTGACATTGCTGAGGCACTGAGGTCGTTGTGGAGACAAAGGACCAGCCCTGGGGTTCAGGCCTCAAGTTCAAGGTCGGAACGCCTGGAGATGGCTCTGACCTAGAGCTGTGGTCGTAAGGTCACGCCCCCATAGACCGCGACCACGCACACACACAGCATGTGAACATGTTAGTGGAAGACGTGGAAACGTTAAGACAGAGTCCCGACCCCGGGCCTGTCAGGTGCCAGGTTCCCTAAATGTCACTGTGCACAAGCAGCTCCTGTGTGCCTGGGGTTTGGGGGTGCAGATCCCGTGTCTCTGACACGCCCTGCTCTGAGCAGGTGGTCCCTGAACCCGGCTGTGGGCGGTGCCGAGGGCAGACAGCCCGGTCCTGGCTAATCGCACATCCCCGGCTCGCTGCCATGATGGAGGGAGGACCCCTGAGGATGGGGAGATGGACACAACAGCACAGTGTTTGACAGCAGTGGCCCTGTGGTTCGTCCCCGCACTGCAGCCCAAAGCCCACCTCGCTGGTCAGCACAGGGACAGCAAGGGTCACAGGCCAGAGGTCAACGAGGGCCTACTTCTTTCCTGCTCCTGTCTCTCCAGCTGGGGGTGGGTACATGGATTTTCATTGTCTTGTTCTGCCCCTGCAGCTCCTTCTCGGCAGAAGCCAGTTGTGCTGTTCCTGTCCCTGGAGATCCCTGGGCCCCTCTGCCCCCAGGACACGTGGCTGTAAGGTCCCCCAGGGCCTCCGCAGACAGGCCTGGCCCTGTGGGGTTTCCAGCTGTCTGTGGCCTTCCTTCCAGAGCTGTCTGAGTGACTCAGGGCCCTCCTGGGGCCCAGCCTTCTCAAGAAGAAAGGGAAGCAGAGACGCATCACCACGGGGGTGCGAAACCCTCACAGGACTGTGAAACGCCGCCTCCAACAACCTCGCTCCAGCTCCGCAAGGTGGAAAAGCCTCAGACCTGAGAGGCCTAGAGGTCAGGGTCCTCAGGAGGACTGCAGGCTGGCAGGGACACAAAGGGAGGGTCTGGGGGAGTGAGCAGCCCCCCCGCGCTGCACCAGGGGCTCCAGCACTGCAGGGCAGGGGGGCTCGGTCCCTTCCCTCCCGGACACCACCCACCAAGAGGCCTGGGAGGGCACTTCCGAGGGGCGGGGGTGGGTGCCAAGCCTGGGCCTGGCTGCTGCAGGGTCGTCGCCCCCGTGGGAAGGGAGGCTCCCAAACACAGAAAAAAGGGCAGACGTGTCCAGTCACAAAGGCCACTGTGTTACAGCTGAGATCAGGACAGAAACGCTGATAGGGGATGTTGTGGCTTCAGAGAGAGAACTCTGGACATGACTGGCCCCAGGGCTGGCCAGCAGAGAGGCAGGATGCGGTGAGGTCTACAGCCTCAGCCTCCGCCCGCCCCACCGAGCTCTCCCTCTTGACCAGGCACCTGCCAGGCGGTGGGGAAGAGGGGCAATGGACCTGGGGGGCGCTTGCCGGTGTCCCTCCCTCCCCAAGGCTGAGCCCTTCACATCTGTCCTGGTGGGGGGTTGCTGAGGGGCCCCGGGCGGAGCCCCATCTGCGCAAGTCACCTGCCTTGCCTGGGCGCAGAAATGAGGGCAGCGCCGTTGTCGGACGTGAAGAAAACAAAGGTGTTCTCTGCGATGCTCAGGTCCCGGAGGAGGTGCAGGATCTTCCCAACGCTGTCGTCAATCTCCCGGACGGCGTCCCCGTAACTGCAGGAAGGAGGGCGTGGTCAGCAGGGGCCGGTGGCCTCCGGGACCAGAGGGCGGCCGAAGCCGAACCTCAGGGAAGGACGAGGAGGGGGCGGGCGTTCCAGTCAAGTTTCAGACGGAATCGGGGCAGAGCCGACCCCTCCCTCCACCACCGCAGAGGCACGGATGCTTCACTCTGTCCACAGCTGACGATGGTAGCGAGGGCCCAGCCTCTGGTGGTAATCAAGCACAGCTAAGCCCGCCCCGGGGTCCAGGTCTATGCGACCAAGGACTCACCGCCCTCGCTGGCTGGTGCCCAGGAAAGGCCTGGAGGCATAAACGGGCGCGTGTGTAGCGTCGATGGCCCAGTGTAGAAAGAAGGGGCGGTGAGCTGCCTGCTGCCTCTTAATGAAATCGAGTGCTTCCTGAGGAGAAGCGCACACTGTCTTCCCCGCCCCAGGCCCACCTCCCACCCCAGAGCCGGGCCAGCCCCTGCTGTCGTCACCTGCAGGTAGATCTGGGTGAGGTTGGCTTCTCCAGTCCTCAGGTTAATTGGAAATTCCTCATAAAATCTGAAAACAGGACAGATCCAGACAGAAATTGGCCTTCAGGGCAGGAAAGCCCCTCCTCCCCGACTTCCTGGGCAAAGTCAGGGGCCTCGTTTAAAAGAGAGATGGAAACGTTCATGTCAGGAACAAAACTGGAGCCTGGAAGCTCCCAGGCCCGCTGGGGACCCACTGGGGTTGAGTCTGGTGCCCCGGTGACCCCACCATCTGGGAGGAGGAGGGGAGCCCCGCCAAAGGACAGGCAGGACGGTGCGAGAGGGAGCGGCCAGTCCACGGCCACGGAGGGCATGGCTAACAGGTGTGGGCATCTCTCTGGGGTGACGGAGGCGGTCTGGGATGGGGGTGCTGGGTGAGCTACAGCCCCGCAACGCTGGCCCAGCTCTGTGGTCCAGTGACGTGTACCGCGCTTCCACAAGAACAAAGATAATTTAAAAAGGAAGAAAGAAAGGGAAGTTAGGCCAGACAGAAAAGACCAGGGCCTGCCTGCAGCCACCCGACGGCCAGACCAGGTCGGTCCTGCAGCCGACGGCCCCCCAGACGGTGGCTCGGAGCGAGGCTGACCGTCCAGAGCGTAGCCCCCTCAGGGCACGGGGCCCAAACCCCGGAAGCCGAGTGAAGCGCCTCGCTCTGGGGAGCATCTGGGGCTCCCAGCACCTTTCCTCAGACAGTTAGAAGCCCCCGGAGGCGGGGCTCTTATAAGTCAGAGGTCACAGCACGAGGTCTGGGCAGGACGAGGAGCTGGCGGGTGGGCGGCAGCAGTGGGCAGGGCCTGTTACCTGCCAACCATCTCCCGGTCCCGGTACACAGGGATGTTGGGCCTGGCCTTGTTGTCATAAGGTCCAAAGTGACAGTTGGGGGATCCAAACCACTCATCGAATCCGTGCTTCAGGGGGTGGAACTGAGACCTGTGGCCCAGATGCCTAGAGACAGGAAGCCGGGGCACTTCAGGGACCGCCGCATGGGCACCCCGGAGCTCCGGGAAGCAAACACCCTCGCCTTCAGAGAACAGTTCAGGATACAAGGCTCCAGCCAGCCCCAGGGTGTGCTGAGCCTGGGTGCCCCACGCCGTGGCCCCCCTGCCCGCACGGTCCACCCAGGCGACAACCGAGGGGCGCACACGGGGACGGTGACCAGGTCCCATGAGCGCGGATCACTGCCCCGGCGCCCTGGGCAGGAGCTGGATGGGACAAGAGGAGAACATGCCAAGGTGCCTGCAGAGCAACGGCCCAGCCGTTACCGAGACCCAGGCTCGGACCCGCCCCCCGCTCCCACCCGGGAGCCCCTTCCCCGCGGGTGCGTCACGTCGGGTCCTCTTGCCAGTGGGAGGGTCTCTCTTGAGAAGGCACAGCTTAGGGAAGGGGTTTTGGAGTGAGGTTCCTCCTCCCTGGGAAGCAGACAGGTTTCTTGGGGTCACGTATGCAGAAAGCCGCTCGCAGCCAGCATCGCCAGCACAGCGCTGGGGGGCTGCACTGGGCCAGGCCGACTCCACGTCACCGTGAGCTTGCCGCACACCTCAGTCACTCGGTCACGTGGATGCGGCACGAGGCAGCTGGGCAGGATGGGGCCGGAACTGAGCTGGCCGGCAGCGGAGTCTGGACGCCGGTAAGTGAACCTCTCGGTCCCCACTGCTGGTCCTCAAACACTCTGCCTCCGCCGGATGGCTGCCCGGCTTCTGAAGCCCCTGTGCCGGGGGCACCCGCACGGGCTCTGCCCTGAGCGCTGTCTCCGCAAAGGAGAGCCAGCTGCGCCCCATGCTTCCTCTCTGGGACCGCAGCTATGACGCCCCCTCCATGCTGGACACCGCTAGGTGTGACACTCCTTGTCCTGCGTCCTTCAGCCCAAACGGCCTTCATGAAACAGAAACACCCACGAAGGTCCGGCTCGTGTGAAGTTGTCAATTCCAAGTGCTGGTCCCAGGGCAGCTGCGGGGTCAGTACTGCCTGCCAGCGAGCTGAGTGACAGCACGTCGAGCCCCTGGGACTCAGGGCAGCCTCTCGCAGGAGCCCAGGCTCCATCCACCCCAGGCCTTGGTTAGGCCGAGGAAATCCGGATCCGTGGTGCTGGGGCCCGAGGCTGGCTGTCAGGCAGTCACGGCCACGGCCACCAACACCCCCTGCGGCTCTGACGGGACCCTGCTGAGACCAGGACACCCACCTGGCAGAGGAGGGCCGAGCTCCCTGCCCCGGGCCTCCCAGAGCCCGTCATCCCATTGGCCATGGCTGCCCTGACCCCGGCTGGTCCACCAGCACTGCGTCCACCTCCCTGAGTCCATGCCAGCTGCTTCTCCAGGCCCTGCCGCGTCCCTTCCTGTTCCTGAGTCTGCCCATCTCGGGAGCTCGTGCGGACAGGCTCCCACTCCAGCTCTGGCTGCCCCGTGTCAGTGACCACGAATGGGAGGCCCCTGGACCGGGACAGAGCCGCCAGGCTGGGTAGAGAGCGCCGGTCATCGCAGGGGCTCCTCCTTCTGTGGGCACAGCCCTGGCACGGGCCTGGCAGGCCTTGTAGCTGCCCTACTGCCATCTTCCAGGCCTTCCCGGCACTGCTGGGCCTTGCAGGCTCCCACATCCTGCACCCTCGCCAGCTCTGCTCTGCAGCCCCCACCGCCTCCAGGCTCGACCGCTCGGCCAGCAGGACAGCTGCCAGCCCCTCTCAGGGGTGAGGAAGCAGCCTCCAGGTCCCCGGGTTCCCTGAGGACTCCTCTCCCGGTTTCTGCAGATCCCCCATCACTAGGACTGTCAACTGCGTGGGGCAGTGGTCCCCAAGGGGCACAGATGAGGTGCTTGCCCTCGAGGTGGTGAGTGCCAGAGGGGTCAAGGGGAGAGGGTCCAAAGCACAGCAGCGGCCGAGCAGAGATGATCACGGCTGGAAAGTCAGGGAAGGCTTCCTGTAGGAAGCAGGCTTGGTCTCCAAGGGCTCCAACATTCGGCAGAGGAAAGAGAGGACATCCGACCTTCGTATCAACCTCTAGGGCTGCGTACGTAGGCATCCCCGGGGAGTAAGAGAGAAGCCACTTAACAGGCTTAACCACGTAACAGCGCGACACGTGATCTTTTATGATCACTTGATCCCGATGATTCCACACCACATGACCGTCCTCTATCCCCTGCTTGCTTCTTGGTTTCATCAGCAGACAGAGCCCCTTTGCTCGCTGGCGTGTCATCGTGACGGCACGTGTGTGCAATAACACGGCTCCTTTGGTGCTGCTGTGGCAGCCGCCACCCCAGCCTCGCCACGGGAGGTCCCACGGGCACGGCCACAGCAGCTTTTAAAGGGACGCTTTGGACATCTTAGCAGACCTGGAATTCAAGGACTCTACTCCCACTTGAGGGGCTCCCACTGGGCAATGTGAGTAAGGAACCCTTGGGGCGAGCCCAGCAGGCAGGTGTGCGACTCACCACTTGCCCACGATCTTGCTGGTGTAGCCGGCCTCCTTCAGTAGCTCCGGCAGCAGGAGCTCTGAGTCTGGGATGCCACCCACTATCTCCTGTGGCGTGTAGGCTGGTGGAGCAAACGCACCGTGTAAGCCAGCAGGGTCGAGCGGCAGAACCCTGGTCGGGGCGGCACTGCCCGGGCACTTTCCAGGTCTTCCGGCGCTCCTCACAGCCAGCACCATTACCGGAGCGAACAGGCAAACGTGCCCCCCGAGGGGGGTGGGGGGTGGGGGGTCAGGGGTCACGGGTGGGCCCACCCCTGGCGTCTCCAGAACTCGGGCTCTGAGACCACACCTTCCTCCAAGGGTCCCTTGAAGCCCCACTTGGTCGGGGAGCCCACCCTAGAGCCGGGCCGCCCCCGCACCCGGGACAGGGCGGGAGCCGGCCCCACCCTCACCGTCCTCCCCACTCGCCTAAAACACATTGTTTCTGATGGGAGCTCTGCGTTCTGTTTTAAAATGAGTTCCGACCCAGACAGAAGCCTCAACCCTGGGCGACGAGTGCGCCCGGGAGAAGCCAGGTCACTGGAGAGGACAGGTGACAGACGCCCCCTCCCTCTGCCCCAGGGCACAGCCTACCGTTCCTGGCGTGCCCATTGGTGGTGTAGAAGCCACTGCGGATGGGCAGGCGTCCGGTGAGCAGAGCCGCCCTGGCTACGTGGAGGGGACACAACAGAAACACGGGTCACGTGTGCAGCCCGAGGCCAGCCCTGTGGTACCTGAGTCCCCGGCAGCCACTTGAGAGCCAGGTGGGAGCACAGCCCCGCAAAGACCAGCAGCGGGGCCGGCTGCAGCTCCCCCTCGCTCGCTCTCTGGCTCCCGGGACAGCCCGCAGGCCTCCTCATGCGCCGCCCCTTCCAGGGTCACCTCTCGTCCTCCAGATGAGAGGTTCTCCCCACCCTCGAGGCCCCTACACCCCCAGCTGACGATCCCTTCCCTGGCTGAGCACCTCCCCCGAACCAGCCGCGGCACTCAGCTCCGTGAATGAACAGCCGCCGCCTCCGAGGCAGCCACTTGGGCCTCAAATACCCGCAGAGGCTCCGAGCCCTTGGTGGCCTCTGATGGCTCCTGATGGCCCCGCGTTCCCCAGAGCACGTAGCCCAGATGCTCCCAAGCACCAGGATCCGACAGAAGAGGCCGCAGCCCGCCTGCCACCCCTCTGCCCCTTGCAGGAAATGCCGGTGGAGCCGACACCCAATCAGGGCTGCCACCCCCACGCTCCGTGCCCGCACCCTGCGCCCCACTTTCTGGTCTATGCATTCCCCACCTCCCCACCGTGCCTCAGTCTCCGCGCTCCGTGACCACCCCCCTTGTGTCCCCCCACCCAGCATGCCCTACGCCCAGCCCCACTCCCTGGTGGCCTGAGCAGGCCCTGACTTACAAGGGGAGCACAGGGGGTTGGCCGTGTAAAAGTTCGGGAAGAGCATCCCTTCCGCAGCCATCCGGTCCAAATTTGGGGTCTCTCTGGAAGGTTCTCCATACACCCCGAGGTCGCCCCACCCCACCACACCTTCCTCCAAGGGTCCCTTGAAGCCCCACTTGGTCGGGGAGCCCACCCTAGAGCCGGGCCGCCCCCGCACCCGGGACAGGGCGGGAGCCGGCCCCACCCTCACCGTCCTCCCCACTCGCCTAAAACACATTGTTTCTGATGGGAGCTCTGCGTTCTGTTTTAAAATGAGTTCCGACCCAGACAGAAGCCTCAACCCTGGGCGACGAGTGCGCCCGGGAGAAGCCAGGTCACTGGAGAGGACAGGTGACAGACGCCCCCTCCCTCTGCCCCAGGGCACAGCCTACCGTTCCTGGCGTGCCCATTGGTGGTGTAGAAGCCACTGCGGATGGGCAGGCGTCCGGTGAGCAGAGCCGCCCTGGCTACGTGGAGGGGACACAACAGAAACACGGGTCACGTGTGCAGCCCGAGGCCAGCCCTGTGGTACCTGAGTCCCCGGCAGCCACTTGAGAGCCAGGTGGGAGCACAGCCCCGCAAAGACCAGCAGCGGGGCCGGCTGCAGCTCCCCCTCGCTCGCTCTCTGGCTCCCGGGACAGCCCGCAGGCCTCCTCATGCGCCGCCCCTTCCAGGGTCACCTCTCGTCCTCCAGATGAGAGGTTCTCCCCACCCTCGAGGCCCCTACACCCCCAGCTGACGATCCCTTCCCTGGCTGAGCACCTCCCCCGAACCAGCCGCGGCACTCAGCTCCGTGAATGAACAGCCGCCGCCTCCGAGGCAGCCACTTGGGCCTCAAATACCCGCAGAGGCTCCGAGCCCTTGGTGGCCTCTGATGGCTCCTGATGGCCCCGCGTTCCCCAGAGCACGTAGCCCAGATGCTCCCAAGCACCAGGATCCGACAGAAGAGGCCGCAGCCCGCCTGCCACCCCTCTGCCCCTTGCAGGAAATGCCGGTGGAGCCGACACCCAATCAGGGCTGCCACCCCCACGCTCCGTGCCCGCACCCTGCGCCCCACTTTCTGGTCTATGCATTCCCCACCTCCCCACCGTGCCTCAGTCTCCGCGCTCCGTGACCACCCCCCTTGTGTCCCCCCACCCAGCATGCCCTACGCCCAGCCCCACTCCCTGGTGGCCTGAGCAGGCCCTGACTTACAAGGGGAGCACAGGGGGTTGGCCGTGTAAAAGTTCGGGAAGAGCATCCCTTCCGCAGCCATCCGGTCCAAATTTGGGGTCTCTCTGGAAGGTTCTCCATACACCCCGAGGTCGCCCCACCCCATCTGCAGGAAAGAGCGTGTGGAGGTGGGATGAGAACGTAGCCAGAGCCGCGGCCCCCGGCGCACCCCAAGTGCGGCAGGTGTGTGGTCAGCCGCTCCCCGGTGCAGATGCCCAGCGCCCACCTCCTCCCAGCTCCGACGCTGGCCCCACGTGCTCACGGGGCACCGGCACCAAGACACACACCTCTGCCTTCCGCACAGACAAGGAGGCCGTCCTACTCTGCGGTGCGAATTCACATTTAACGACAGTGCCCAGGCCCCATGAAGCTAACCCGGCGAGGCCCCGAGACCCGCGGTTCCTCCCAAGCTCGCTGTCCCGAGAACTGGGCCGGCCGGCACCCAGGCGCCGCATGAATGTCCACAGCAGCAGGACTCCCGACTGCTCAAAAGAAACAGCCTCTGTCCATCACTGATCAATAGTAGACAGATGTGGTCTATCCATCCAGGACCAGGGTGAACAGCAGCCTCCCCAGTTTATGTCCACTCAGAACCAGAGAACGTAACCATATTTGGAAATACGGACATGATTAGCTAAGATGAGATCACACTGGACTAGGGTAGTCCTAAATCCAGTGACTGGGGTCCGTGTGAGAAGATGGGACACAGAGACAAGACAGACACACGAGGAGAGGCCAGGCCTCCACGACGGAGGCAGAGACTGGAGGGTCGCGGCCACAAGCCAAGGAGCACAGGAGCCCCCAGGAGATGGAGGGGAGGGAGGACCCTCCCTCGGAGCCTCTGGAGAGACTGGCCCTGCGACCCCTTGATTTCAGACTCTGGCCTCCAGGACTGGAGGGAATAGATTCCTATTCCAAGGCACCAAGTCTCTGGCCATCTGTTAGGCACGAGGGACCTGATACACACACTACGGACCAGTACTCGGCCGTAAAGAGGAACGAGGTGCTGACACTCACAAAAACAGGCTGCTGAGAAGCTGGTCAGAAAAGGCCGCAGGGTGTACGATGGATGTGAGACGTCCAGAACAGGCAAGTCCACGGGTACAACGCAGATGGGTGGTTGCCAGGGGCTGGGGGAGGGGGAGGGGAGTGGCTGCCAGTGGGAAAGGGGTTTCTCTTCGGGGGGTGGGATGTTCTCAGCTACTAGATGGGGGCGCTGCACAAGCCGGCGAACGTGCTAAACACCACCGAACTGCACGCTTTAAAATGTTAAAAGGGTGAATTCGTGTTATGTGCGTTGTGCCAAAATAAAACCAGACAGGTGGTGAGGTGGGTTAGCGCGTGCACAGGGACGGAAGGATGGACAGTTGTGAGACAGAGCAGGCAGAATCCAGGTGGGGCGACAGGTGTGCACTGCGACACCCTTTCAGCTGCACGGGTGTTTGACAACTTTCACCATAAGGCGCTAAAGAAATACCTGAAAAGGGCAACGGGACGTGACTTTGCTCTATGACCCAACGCATCCTTCTGCGGCCAGTGGCGTGGGGCAGGAGTGACCCTGACAAACTGAATCCCCTCGGCGCTGATGGTGGGCGCGGCCCTGCTTCCCCTCTGGATTCTCTAGCCGTGCAGCCCCTCCAAGCTGGCTCTCCTTCACGGGCCGCTCCTCCTGGAGGGGTGGGGGGGAGGCCGGGGACGGGGCTTCTTCCCGGGGTTATGAAGATGACCCACAGCTGACCGTGGTGACAGCTGCACGACGCTGTAAAGGTGCTAGAAACCGCAGAATTGTGCCCTTTAACTGGAGAACTGTGCATGATAGAAACTACGTCTCCGTAGAGTGCCACTGGAAAAGCGCAGGCACCTGGTGCTGCAGAGGCCTAGCCGTGCCTGTCTCTCTGGGGCCCCTTAAAGCTCTCCAGACTCATGGGCCACGGCCTGCCAGCCCACAGCAGGCTTGGCAGGTCTGCACGGAGACGCTGGGGAGAGCTGGGCCAGCGCGCACGAGGCTCGGGGAGCCTTGGGTCACACGTGGGGGCAAGCATGCAGGCTTGCCCAGGATGGTCACAGGTAGGTGTGTGGCCTGGCTGTAATCATTCATGCCCCCTGCACTGGGCAGTAGCTCACACGGCGCCCTCTCCGTCAGGGAGAGCCAGGAGAGGGACATGTCCCCTCGTCTCCCAGCCTTAGGCCCATCCTGACACTCGGGTCCCAGAGCTGCCTTGGGGCTTTTGCCCTTGGACCGTGCGGTCTGTTCTCAAAGACCCTTCCAGCCGTAGAGTCCCTTTGGAGATGGTTTATCTTGAAATTACTGAAAAGGCTTTTCCGTTCACCACAACAGGAGCTGGAATGAAAGTTGCCCCTGGAGGGACGTGCGGCCGACAGGGGCAGGAAGTGGAGCGGTAGGCACGAGGCTGCAGGCTCCAGGCTTCTCCCTGCTGCCCCCTCTCCCCACACCCCACGGGGCACAGGCGGGCTGCCGACCCTCACCCACAGGCCAGGTAGGAGGAGCAGAGAGAGGCAGAGAGGCTGGGTCTGCTGGCACCACCCAAATCCCAGCCTCCCAGGAGGGAGGTGGGGCTCAGCACAAATCTTACGTTTGCATAAACAGTTTAGGCACAGGGAATGCTGGGATACTCCCCAAATCCAAGTTCCCAGATAGTGGCCAAGGGCCCACCTATTTACAGGTGAGCCTCTCTGAGGCCTGCAGTCATTGGCCTGCTGTGTTAGCTCCTTCCTGC